CCCAGACAGGAACAGAAATACAAGTTTAAAACACAACAGGCTCTACACTGTCACCCGAATGTTTACATTTTTTGGGGAGCTAATCCTAGTCCAATACAGAGACCCCTGTACCAGGGTCTGGTTCAAAAGTACTTCAGCCAACTTTACAAACAACCAGAATCAAGTTTATACATATACATATACATATATACACATGTTCCTTTCAAGACAACATGTTTTCCAGGGACACCCATGCATAATTCGAGAAAACCTTTGATCTGGGAAAGTTCAACTGTGATGTGGACTGAGCTTACGGGGCAATGAGGTCTAGGAGGAACAGCCTCTTACTTCTCTTGAATGTGTGTTCAACACATGTGGTTACGACAACAAACCTGAACCTGCTCCTAAAAGGATTCTCTGTGTGTGTGTACAGCCATCTCAGTTTGTTGTCGTACCCCGTCCATCATGGCCGGCTGGCTGGTGGCCTTCAGCTTCCCTCCTCTTTCCTCTACCGGGTCGGTGCAGCTGCGGCTCCTCTGAGAACCACTGAAGAAGAAAAACACAGGTCAGAGGTCACACAACATGCACAATCAGAGTGGAGTCCTTCAGAAGAGTTTCTACAGCTGTTTGGTAAAGCCCCAACACGTAGCAGTTGGAAATGTCACATCCTGTTCCCGGCTCACTCTGCTCACCCAGCGAAAGCTGACGAGTTTTTGGTTTTCCTGATGAAGGCTGAGATGTTTCTGATCCTCCTCCTGATCGGCTCCTCATTCTCCGAGTCAGACAGAACTCCCTGAGGAGAAGCATCAACAGATGTTTTGTGTTGTCGCAGTAGAAAAAACACAGGTGTAGCTAACAACATTCAGGCTGAAATTCTGAGCTGGACATAAAGAAAGTTAAATGGTTCATTAAATGTTTTAACTTTACAGAGTCCACAGGTATCTGTTCATGCTTTTGAAGGAAGACGTGAGTGGATTGTAACTGTAAATGTTCTACAACCCTGAGGTTTCTGTCCTCTACCTTAAACTGCATGTTAAATGTCAGTATCAGTCCATGATGGAAGTCTGAGAGTGCGCTGTGTTCACACTTACAGGCTCCTCATTCCGCCGGGCTGACCCGGACTCGTCTTTACAGATCGGAGTGTTTCTTCTCCTCAGATCCTCCCTGTCCTCAGACAACACCAGCTGCAACACAGTCACAAACCAACACTACCAAGTGTTAAGCTTAATACAAATGCACCAAACATCATCACACATTTTTGTTTCTACAGGAACAGGAACAGAGTAAGATGTTGCAGCTGCTTGTTAAAAGAAAACCACCCTCTAACTAAATGCTACATCAATAACTGACCACTGATATTACATGACAACATGTACAGTACTGTACATATACAGTACTAGGGTTGCAGTGGTATCCCGGTTTCACGATATACCATGGTATGGAATTTGATGGTTATCATACTATGCACATTAGCTTATTACCAGTATTGAAGTAAAAAATGCAATGTGTGCACCTTTCTTCTTCCCTACATAGTACTACTGCAGTATCACTTGACTTAGCACCAGCTGTGCAAACACACTTACAGTTTATTAAAACTGTTAGTTACAGAAGTTACCGCTGTCATGTCACAGCAAGAAGGTTCAGGATTCGAGACCCGGGCCGACCTGGGGCCTTTCTGTGGGGAGTTCGAACAATCCACGACCCTCTTCAGGATAAGCGGTGTAGATAATGATGGATGGATGGATTACAGAAGTTATAATTAAAGTTGTGGCACAGATAATTTAAAAGCAAAACCCTTACAAAAACATCTTTGTAAAATGAATGCAAAACTGTTAAACCCTTCCAAGGGTTTGAGGAAACTGAAATCAGTACTTTTAAGACTTTTCAAGCCCTGCAGAAACCCTGTCAGTCCAGTGTGTTCCTCTGCTTAGAAACTCGGCCAGCAAAAGAATAAAAATCACTGAAGTGTTGTTGGTGATAATGAGAAACAAACACAAAGCATCTGACTGACCTTGTGTTTCCCGGTCAGTCCTGATAAAACATCTGCAGACTTTGGAACGAGAGCAGGAGAGACGAAAAACTCTGAAGAGACAAACAACAGAGGCCACAGCAGAACATCACCACCAGGCTGGGACAGAAACACACACGAGCGCATTTTAAATCAAATCAGTCTCAAATAACAGCAGGATGTAAACATAAACCATGACTGTTAAATTCTTGCTGGAACAAATAAACAGAAGAATCCAAAACAGTAAATGGACCTTTACATTAAGAAACACAAACACGATTTCCTGCAGAGCTTTTTTTTTTAACAAAAGCTGGTGAGGTTGCCACATGTTGAACATCTGAATACAGGCCACTAAACAGGAAGGAGCAAAATGCTGTGGAAGACTGGAACAATTAAGGCTTAAATCAGGAAATATCTGGTTACAGAAGAGTCAGTAATAATTATGAAGAAATTGAACAACCGCTCTCACCTGGCCAGATGCACTCTCAATGGAAAAAAATGACATTTAGTAAAGAGGAGACCCTAAACCCAGATTTCAGGAAAAATAGCCCAAAGTTTTTTTGTGTGTGTGTTTTGTGCATTTGATGCAAAACAAAATAAAAACAATGGAATTAAAAAGACCTCAACAGTGTTTATTTTAATACAAATAGCCGGAGAATCAGGAATTTCCGCACTGTGGGATCAATAAAGTCCTACCTACCTACCAAACCCATTCTGATACTAGGAAAGATAGTGAACAGTGCTGCTGAGCAGCTGAGGTCCAGCTGAGTCAAACACAGTCAAATACAGACATGATGAAAGACAAAGTGATAATAAAAGGTACTGATACTGTAGTAAGTCAGCTGAAGTACTAATAAGCCTGTAGGGCCTCAGCTCCTCCTACAGCTGTGCAAGTCTGGACAAGTCTTCCAACACCAGAGCCAAACAGAAAGTGACCAAATGTCTACAAGTGTAAGACCCTGAAATGAATGAAACACGTCGGCCAGTCTCCACCCGAACCTCTTCGCTTCTGTGGTAATATTTTCTGTAAACTGAATCAGAGTCTCTCAGGTGGACGTGTCTGACATTTAGAAACTCTTCAGGCCGCCACCTGTTAAAACTAAACGTATAATAAAGTTGTAACCATCTCCACTGAATTCTGGGAGTTTCTATGTTTTTCATGCGGTTGGTTTGTAAAACAAACGCCCAGCGGCAGTGCTGATAAAGCGGAATGTGATCTATAGTTTCCCCGATAAATACACCGACCTCTCCGGCTATTGCAGTCCCTCCTGCCCGGCCTGCTGCTGCTCTCCGAGTCACTCCTCCTGCGGAGCCGCTCTTCACTGCCGGGATGTCTCCGGGCCAGGCAGAGCGGACGGGCCAGGCGTCAGCGCGAGCACAGAGTGGACGCGCGTGCAGCCCGCCAACCGCGAAGTTGGAACACGGGATGAGCGTGTGGTAACCTTCATAATAAAACCGGGTTCTCTTGATTTTCTTACGCGCGAAACGTTTTAAACTTTAAGATATACTGTACTGACAAATATTATCAAATGTAAAATTTTATGTTTGACAATATTTGCATGTAAATAAAATAAAAAGGGGAGCAAAGATAACTTTAAATTTTTAATAATTAATAATAAAAATTTTAAAACAATTGTAACTACAGATTTTTCAAAGACTTTGCAACTTTTGTTTAAACACCTATTTGTTTGTTTATTCACGCTATAAGATAACAGAAAATAAACTAAAAAATGCTTAAACGGTTTTACACATGCACAGACAATCTATCAAGCATATGATGGAAAACGCTACGTCTTTATAATCACACATCCATGGTTTAGAGTTGTTAAAATAAAACATAACATTTGTGTGCAGACCAAAAGCACATTTATAAACATTTCCATTAAGGCTGAGTAAACTTAATGGTCATAAAACTAAAACAGTAATGTTTAACATGTATTAGATGCTTTTTAATGTTGATTGATTATAAATATGGCAATAAGTTGTCATTTCTATTACCTTTATTGACTATAAAATTAATAGAATAGAATATAACAATAAAAATTAATAGAAATATTGCCATATAGAGACGGTAAAATAATGAAAATATAATTAAATATGAAATACATAAATTCGACATAAATACATTTTAGTGCTGAAAATAATAAAAATAAAAAGCATTAAAGGTGAGTACAAAATGAAACAGTGCAAGTTTTATTGTGAAATAATGTTTTTCGGTCGATAAGTGCTGCAAAAACCGGAAGTAGATACGAATTTGACCGCAGGAGAAGAAGACGAGAACATCAACAATGGCGGCGCACACGGAAGAGCAATTAGAAGTGGATATCTGAGAAATGAGCAGTGAGTTTAGAGGTAAAACTGAAATTGAACCGGTTTAATAACGTACATGTATTAAAACTAAAACTAGACACTTTCTTCAAGCAGTGGTACAGGAACAAGTCAGCATCTTTCAAGAAGACCATGATTTTTATGCAGAACAATGCTCCATGCCGTGCATCGAGGTACTCCACTGCGTGGCCAGCCAGTAAAGGCCTTAAACATGAAAAAATAATGACAAGGCCCCCTTCCTCACCTGACCTAACCCTATAGATTCTTGTGGGTCCTTCTTAAACAGGAGCTTTACGGTGAAGGAAAACAGTACACCTCTGAACAGGGTCTGGGAGGCTGGGCTTGCTGCTGCACAAAAAGATGATTGTCAACAGACTCCTTGAACAGAAGGCTTATGGCTGTTATTGAAAAGAAGGGAAGCTATATTGGTCACTGAGGGTTTTTTTGTTTTGTTTTTTTCATGTCAGAAATGTTGATTTGTAAATTTTGAATTTTTTATTTACATTTTTGTTCATTTAAATTTTGAGTTTATTATTATTTATAAAGTTATTCTCACTTTAACTGATAAAATAAACAAGTGAGATAGGAGAATTTTCATTTTTCATTTAGTTGCATAATAATTCTGCACATTAACAGTTGCCCAATAACTGTGCACACATAGACATTCTCCTAAGAAAGCCCAAACCTCACATTTACTTTCTTAAATATTCAGGTTTGAGGTTTATTAACATTTTGGATTGACCGAGAGCACTATAGTTGTTCAATAATAAAATTAATCCTCAAAAATACAACTTCCTAATAATTGTGCACACAGTGTAAGCCCTGTGAAAACCTAGGGAAAACCCTGTGATAGGTCACTTCATGACACAAGAATTCCAGACAAAACCCCCCTCAGCACAATGAGAAAAAGCTTATGTATTAACATCAGCTTGTTGTTACCTGGTTCCTGGTCTGGTTCCAGCCTGGGATGCAGAGTGGCAGGCCAATGGTGGAGGTGGTCCGTCTGGGCCTGGTTTCCTATCAGGAGGCTCTGCGGCTACAACAGGTCTATGTGAACCGGCACAAATCTGGTACATCTCACGCTCTGCTGCTGTGTCAGCACCTGCCAGTCTACACCACAGGGATCCGCCACAAACCCTACCCGGCCCTCCTGCTGGACCGACTACACCTGCTGGGTGCCGACGTCCATCGAGCCAACCGAGGAGGACTCATCACATTCCATGGGCCAGGACAGTTGGTCTGTTACCCGATCTTGAACCTGTGCAGCTTCAAGAAGGTCTGGACTCATCTGGTCTTGAGTTTAACATATTTTAATGTAACTGGACGTTTTCATCTTGGTTCTGTTTTTTTCAGAGTGTTCGTTGGTACGTCTGTGAGCTGGAGAAGACCATCATCTCGGTCTGCAGCAGGTTTAACATCGAGGCGTCAACGTCTCCTCACACTGGTGTTTGGGTTGGAGACAACAAGCTCTGTGCCATTGGTACAGAAATGCAACTTGACTACCTTCTGTTACTGGGCCTCACACAAGAACATCTTTGTGCTTTTATCCTGAACCAAGTGTCCCACTGGCTTGTACCACAAAGCCTAAGTTAACATGGTGATCTGGCCCAATTAAAAGTGAGCCAGCTTCATGGTACAAGAAAACCTGAGCTGAGCCCAAAGTAGCTGGATAAGCCACTAATCTCACTTACAGGGTACAGGGCCCTAGTCAGAATTGCTCTCTTAGACTGCACAGATTCATTGTAAGTCACTCCTCTCAAACCGATGAAGACATCTGTTTATGAGGAGGTTTGTGTTCATGGGATCTGGTCATTTGCATAATTTATGCTCCAAAACTGCTTGATAAGACTACATTCACATAATGTCAGCAGAACACAAAGAAGAGGAAAAACTACTGTAACTCCACCTTGGGGGTGTTCATATGTAATTCCAAGGTGGTTGCAGTATGTGAAGCTATATGGTATCATCTTGTTTTCTGAATTATGAAAACAAGTATTCCATTACCACACAGGCTAATTATTAATCAATTAAAGTAATTATTGCAGCTCTACTCTGTTTCCTTAAATTGCTTGGATGTTCTGCTGAAGAACAGATCTGTTTGTACGAGTTGTTCTTGCATGAGGGCCCATATGTTTTAAGTACTTTTAGTAACTACTACAACTACATAAATGTCCTTCGGTCCAAACACAGGTGGAAGTTTAGAGCCACCTTCTCGTCTTCTTTTTCTTCATTTGGTAAATTCAACCTGGTACACTCTCCAAAGGTGACAGAAATGACAGCATCGAAGTGAGTGGTCCCTGTATGGATGTCTTTTTCTTGTGTTTTTAGGAATCCACTGTGGTCGATACATCACGTCTCATGGTTTGGCTCTGAACTGTAACACTGATCTCTCATGGTTCAGCCACATCATACCGTGTGGTATCGAAGGGAAAGGAGTGACGTCACTGAGCGCCGAGCTGCAGAAAAATGTCAGCGTGGAAGACACCATCCCTCACCTGCTGGACTCCTTCCAAGATCACTTCAATTGTCAGCTGACTGAGAGAGAAACATCTGAACCGGTAGAGGACAGTGGAGGATCATCAGCATAGAGACTGATCTGACAGGACCTCATATGAATAAACAAGACAGATGCTCTCTGGGAATATTTTTATCAGTCTCACCTCTGTGCATCCATAACTTGAAAGAGGGCCAAGCCAAATCCCTCAGACTTACATGTTGCGTCTTGTTAGGTAGTGTAGTGGTTAAAAATAAACAAGGTTCCAGAAGTAATATGTAATAGAATAATATGTAGTTCATATATAGATATTATTTGTAATAGTTGTGATGTAAGGGTGAGCTAAGTGTGTACGGAAGCTTGATCTGTTTCTGGCACAAGCAAGAATATCTTGGGCTGTGTCCCCCTTGTTTAACTTATGGGTAAACATCCCGAGGAAGTCTAGATAGGGACTGGATATACTGTAGCTGCAGCCTTATGTGAATTGTTCGTGTGCTCTGTTCAGGTTTAGAAAAAGGAAATGTGCGCTAGGTCAATGCGACCTAGAAGTTCATGTACTGGACATTCTTAGACAATGCTCGGAAGAAGGTGTGTGTGGGTAGCTGGCACAAGACTGCGTCTCATGCTCAGGCCATGGAAGGCCGTGTAAGTGCAAGCAGATAAAAGGCTAGGAAAGCTGGGTTAGAGCAGAAGAAGAGGATGACAATGCTACTGTCAAAAGTGTTGCAGGGTTGTGTCTACCTTTGGGGTTAATTAATGGATGGTTATAGTGTTATAATCTTTATTTTAATTTTAATTAATTTAATTTTGAATTACTTTTCTTTGTGTATTAAAGGGGTTTTACTGTCTAAAACTTCCCCAAAAATATTAAAGCCAAATGTCACTTTGATTAAAAAGAAACCAAGACCCATAAGGGCAGAAATAAAGGCTCTTTTATATTATTTAAAAGGCATTTAAATAGTTTTTACCCAATAATAGCACCTTATATTTGATCAAAAGACTTTAAAAATACCAGATTATCTCTGTCAGTCTAGCCTTGTACATGTGTGTGCCCCAGGGCCTATGGTCAAGACATGTGCAGTGTGTTTTCCTCCACTTGCTAATTCCTATTTAATTAAATTGTTAAAGCCTATTAACACGGGACCTTTGCCAGGAGATGTTGGGCTCTGTGGTTGTGGGAACAGACAGTTCGATTAAGTGTTAGGCACTACTACTTTATGTGTGGTGATGTGTTTACACACTGTTCCGCTGCCCTGAGTCGACATAAACACCCGTTAATGTCCTGAATTCACACAACGAATCTTCTGCTTAACGTTATGAACTGTACGTGCACGCCAGATTTTGAACGACTGACTCCTATTAAGTGTATTAACGAGTGAAGAAAATTGACATTTTGGGTCAAAATCAGTTAACACACGTAAATAGTTTTTAGCTGATGTTTCCTTCAAAATAAAGCTGTGCGGGAGAGATATTTATTTTAAAATTAGACCGGAAGTTTCGTGTGTTGCCTCCCCGAGACTTGACGGCGATGTTTATGAACTTTATGGGTTACCATTTCTGGCGTGTCTAACTTTCCAGAGGAATATTCTCGACTATCTTGTAGTTAGCCTGCCAACATCGGCCTCCAGCGGCTGTAGTGTAAGTAGCTAACATTAGCCTCGGTGCGTGACATTCAGTCACGGAGTTCATCACCAGCAGCCATAACAACCTGACGTGTGCCAAGTCCAGGAGCCGGCAGCCGGCTATCTGTTAGCTGCTGCGTTATCTTTCAGAGCGATGGCCCTGGTGCAGTTCACTGGGGTGTAGCTAGCCTGGCTCAGCCAACATGGGAGACGATAACGGAGTAAACGGGGACCTGAATGACAACCTGAAGCGCCAGAGCACCGGCGACCCGCAGCTGGACAAGGCGGTGCAACAGTGGTTAACCTGGGACAAAGTGAGTGTCCGTCGGTCGGTTCGAGACCGTGTGTAGGAGACGTCGAACCAAACTGCCCTTAAAAATGCACTATTTTATGGTGACAGTGCATGTCGGCTAACATGTCGCAATACTGGTTAAGTCCTGCATTTGATATATAATTTTGACCGTGTGGTTGAATCGGCATACACACGATTTACTAAAGCACCACAGTTTTTATTAAACGGAGACTGTGTGATCTATTTTACCAAGTTCATTGATGCGTGTCTCTACGCTGAAGGTGTGTTGAAATAGCTGGCAGTGCTGCACAAGATGTGTTGATGTTAAACAGATGGGTTGAAACTCACTAAGCCGAAGTAGAACCAGTTTATAACATTTCCAAATAATGTTTCTCTTTGCAATTAATTATTGTCCTTGATCAATAAAATCTCAAATTACGAGGTATAAAATGGGAATTCTGAACGATGGCATAGCTACGTGTGTGGGCAGGTGTCAGCTGAGTCTCACCGGCATGAAGAAGCGTGTATGGCCGGTGTTCTATCGGATCCATGCTGCCTATCTATTAGTGCTATTTTGCGGTTCGCACATGCGCAGACCACAATGTTCGAGAATGTTTCCACGCCAATAAATCTATATAACCTTGCAGTCGGAACATTATTTGAAAGGTATATCGGTCTATCAAATGCTGCCCCTAAATTCTCAGATACAAGTGCTAAAATATAAAATCATGCTCCACCTACTATTACAGTATTAAAACAACCTACTGTATGTCAGTACTGTGAGAAAGAGTTTCTGTACGGGGCATGCATAACAGAGAGTGAAACTGGTATGGCAGCACAAATCGTCAACCCCTGCTGCAGTGTGGACCGTCAGTACAGAAATGTGTGGGTCATCGGGTGGTGAAGTGGCAGCCTGACTCAGCTCATCTGACTTTATTTAGAGAAAGTAGCCAAATGGCCTGTACTTCTTCTTCTTCTTCTTTCCGCCGTTCCCATTAGGGGTCACCACAGCGAATCATGTGTTTCCACCTAACTCTATCCTCAGCATCCTCTACTCTCACCCCAGTTAACTTCATGTCCTCTTTTAGCACATTCATATATCTCCTCTTTGGCCTTCCTCTTGACCTCTTGCCTGGCAGCTCCATCTCCAACATCCTTCTACCAATATAACCACTATCCCTC